GGAGATCTCTGTGAGATCCAGGCCAGCCTGGTCTACATAGCGAGTTCCAGGACAGCTGGGGCTACAGGGAGACCTTGTCTCAAAAGGACCAAAATAATATAATAATAATAATAGTAATAATAAATATTTTTAAAGAAGTTCAGGTGAACTTGCCATGACTCACTCCCCACATGTAAACATGCAGTTTAAATAGCTGCTGCTCACAGGAATAGGATGCTACAGCACGCACTTCTACAGGTGATACCTGGGACAGTCCTGCCAAGCCCCGTCAGAATCATCCCTGTTTGTGATGGGTTTCCTAAAAAGGAAAACGAAGACCAACCTCACTGCCCAGAGCCATCTGTGCCTGCTCACGAGATGGAAAGGCCTGCTGAGGAAGGGACTTTAGGCGCCAGGGTTGCACACCTGGAAGGGGTGCTGCTCATGCCCAGGTGTTTCCCTATCTTAGAGAATCGATACAAAGGACCAGTGAGATGGGTCAGTGGGTAAGAGAACTTACCGCATAAGCCTGGCCATGCAAGTTCAGTCCTTCGAGTCCACAGTAGGAGAGACCAGCTCCCAAAGGTCGTCCTCTACGTCTACTCTTCCTACTGTGCCAAGCACACACATGTACATAATACAAATAAGTAATTTTTAATTTAGTGGGTACAAAAATACGTATTTGATGTTCCACAGTGATTATCTCTATTCATGTATGTGCATGTGTGTATATGTGTGCATGTGTGTATTGTATGTGTGTGTCATGTGCATGAATGTGTGTGCATCTGAGTACAGAAGCCAGAGGTCCATCTTGGGTGTCTTCCTCAGTCACTCTCCGCCTTACTTTTTAAGACTAGGTCTCTCACTGGATCTAAACCTCACCAGTTTCACTAGAATGTCTGCCCAGCAAGCTCCCAGGATCTTCCTACCTGCCTACCTGCCTCTCCAGCACTGGGATGACAGACTCACGCCACCACACCCAGCTTTTTATGTGGACACTGGAGACAAAACCCAGGGGTCCTCATGCTTGCAAAGCAAGCACTTTACCAACTGAGCCACACCCCGGCCCTCACAATGGCCATCTCTAAGGAGGTGGTGGTAGCTGTTTTCCAGGCGAAGCCCTTTCAGTTCTGCCTAATTTCACAGCTCGCCATCCCCCGGTGTACTGATTCTGCACTGGAGGCACCTGAGGGTGGGTGCTGTGTAGGCAAAGTGCACAGGTTCATAGGGCACCTGTTCGAGGTACAATAAGAGAAATGCACCGTGGCTTCCCGCTGCAGGCTGTGTGTATGACAGTTACAGCCGGGGCCCCCCAAGCAGGCCATCTCAGTACCTTCACCCCACCACCACGAGCTGTAGGCCCTGTGTGGTACAATGGGGCCAAAGTGATCTCCAAGACCCCCAGAGCTGTTTACTGCTCACAGGGCACAGGGCCAGGAGGAAGTGGTCCAGCAGGACAGCCTCCAGAACAATTCCCGTTCGCTCCAGTCAAAACTGCAAGGAATGGGGCTGCCTGGGGATGGGGGTTCCTTCCAATCACAGGGGCAGAGGTACCCGCCTTGCCTTCCTCCTCTGCCCCCCTGGCCCCTGGGTGGGGGCAGTAGGTGGAAGTGAGATGGGTACGAACCCTGGGCTGACTGCTGGGTGCTGGCCACATGGCACTGAGGCCATGTGTGCACCTGCATGCACTGTGTGTGTTTTGTTTTCTTATGGGGACACACCTGAAAACCTGTGTCGGCAGATGAAGCATGACTTGTTGTCACAAGCAGGGCTGAGGATCTAGGTCAGTGGTAGAGTGTTTGCCTAGCAAGAAAGAAAGGAAGGAAGAGAAGAAACAGGAAAGGGAAGCTAAGCTAAGCCACAAGAACACGCTGCTTCCTGTGGGTGCCACGTGGCAACTGGACTTGGTCCCTGAGCAGGTTTTCCTTGTGATCTGCCATTTCTAGAGTGAGTGAATCACTAAGCTGTGCAGGCCACATGGTGCCCTAATGGTAGGGAATGATCCTCAGACCACAACTAGTCATGTGTGCACACGGGCAAGTGCTGGGAAAATTAAGACTGGAAGGGCCAGGGTCGAAGTCTTTGCTTCTGATGACTCGTGTCTGGTTAATGCTGAAGCTGTTCTGCGGTTTGCACAGGTCTGAGCATCCTGGGGTCTAAAATGACTCAACAAATTGTACAACTTTAAAAACAATGACTTTTGTGTAGACTCATGTGGAAGTGAGGGGCAGGTCCACAAGCGGTTGTAGATCTGAGTTCCCTGCATCTGGGCAGACTCTTTCAGACTGCTTACCAGACACCGTGTTTCCCTGTGTTTGCACACACACCAATAGTGCGTAAATCTCCCATGCCAATGTGCATCGTGTCCCTCTTGGGTGGGTTGATAGAACCATCTAGGGACACTGTAGCTCTTCATTAAACAGGATGCCTTCTTGGGATCAGCAGAGAGGGCTGTTGAGAGCTGAGCCCACTGGGCAGCTGAGCACTCTGCCTCATGGTGAAGGCTGCAGTTCCGCCTCTCTCAGGCTTTCTGAAGGGACCTTGGTGGTTACAAAGCAGTTGGAGCAGTGGCTTGCTATTTCTCAGGCAAATAACACCACGGGATTGCTGGTTAAGAGCCAGTGGTCTTCTTTGAAAAAGAAGTTGAAAAGCAAAGACTTTCAACACAAAATAGCACTTGCCAAGATGAACCCCAGCCGGGCTCGTCGGTAGCTTTCTCTCCTCCTGTTTTTTTAAATGCCCACAGCTGCTCTCATGTAACGCTGACTTGTGTCTGTCCCTTCTGTGGTATGAGGAGTGCTGTACCCAGAGGTTCTGAGGCACATGCATTCGAGCTGTTCCCGCTCATAAGCCTCCTGTGGCTCCCACTGACGAGGTCTGATGTCTCTGCCAGACATATCCTCCTAACCCTGCTCCTCTTTGCACTGGCTCTCCTTGATCCTTGGCACAGCCACCAGCCCAACTTGGCCCTTGGTTCCCGTGCCAGTCCCTCCCCATCCCAGGTGAATGCTGTTCCCCTGTCGTAGCCCTATATCCTCTGGTTGGACATTTTCTGGGCCAGTTTTTTTCTGGTTAGTCAAATGTGACCTGATGGGGGTCTGCCTGTCTTCCCCAGCAAGCCACCCCCTGGTCAAGTGAACCTCATAATTCAGATCTCAGCTCAGTCTCCAAGTGGGGACATCACACCCACCTTGAACCATAAACAAAAGCTGTGAAGGTTGACACACTCTGTGCTTCCAAGAGGCCTGTGTTCTCCCAGGCCTGGCATGGCCAGCCCCAGCCCCTACACTCCTGACTGTGTCTTCTTTTCAGGCCTACATGGAGGACCACTTGAAGAACAAGAACCGACTGGAGAAGGAGTGGGAGGCACTGTGCACCTACCAAGCGGAGCCCAGCAGCTCACTCATAGCCCAGAGGGAAGAGAACGCATCCAAGAACCGCTCCCTGGCCGTGCTGACCTGTACGTACCTAACCTAGGTGACCCTGCAGGGGGAGAGGGGACGGGGACACCTGGCTGTGACCTACCCTGCCCACCCTCATAGTTTGCAAAGTTCCCTGGCTCTGCCCCTTCTCTACCTACAGACCTGAACCCCTATTGAAGACCAGTGTTGCGGTCTCCTCCAGCACCTGTCACAGCCCAAAGGCTGGAGTCAGCCTCCTTGTTTTGATAGAGCCCTGAAGATGTGGGTTGAGGACACAGGAAGCCCAGTGGGAACCAGCTCTTTGCTCCTGTGTGGGTGACCTATAGAATCACGCTGTCTATGAACACGTGGGGTGGTGGGGATGGGTGTGATGACTAACGTAGTGCTGTGCTTTCTGGCAAAGAGTGAACAGTGGGTACTATTTGTTTCTCCAAATGTTACTGGCTTCATTCCAGCTGGGTGTCACTGTGGTCCTGGAGCTATTTCCATGGAAAAGGACATGATCTCCTATTGCACATGCTTATGATACGCTAGGTGGGTGTTCTGGTTTGATTCTCCATTGCTGTGACAAAATACTCTGACCAATACCAACTTGGGGAGGAAAGGGTTTATTTTATCTTAAATCTCCTGGGACACAGTTCATCAGGGAGCCCAAGGTAGGAACTCAGGGCAGGAACCTGGAGGCAGGAGCTGGAGCACAGGCCATAGAGGAACGCTGCTTACTGGCCTGCTCCCTTGGCCCCTGCTCAGCCTGCTTTCTTATGCAACACAGGCCCACCTGCCCAGGGGTGGCACCACCCACAGTGGGCTGGGCCCTCCCATATCACTCAACAATCAAGAAGATGCCCCACGGACATGGCACGGGCCAGCTCAATGGATGCAATTCCCCAGCTGAGGCTCCCTCAACCCACATGTGTCAAGTTGACACTAAAGCTATCCACCACAGTGGGTGTGCAGGGTGCAGAGCCTCAAGCATAGGGCCTAGGTGTGTGTGTCTTCACAGTGCCTGGCCCTCTTCCACATTACTGTTCCCAGGTATTCACAAGCCCTAAGGAAAGTGTGGATTTTGACTAACATGTGAGCCCACTCAAGGGAGACCTTGGTTAGCAAAGTCCCGCATGTAAATAGGCGCTCAGTAAACACCCGCATGCTGAGTAATGAACGTGTGTGCATTCCTCGGCTACGCACCAGCCTCAGCACAAGAGGTAGTTGCACATATTCCAGACGTAATAATATCAACTTTGCCAGCCCACAGTTTTAAGATCACGCCGATGCCACGCCAGACTCATGACAGTATTACAAGAGCACATAGGATAAGAATCCATGCAAGGATGGCAAGAGGTTCCTTGTCAGTGTGCCCGTTCCTGGGACTTTTCAGTATCCTGGTTCTGAGCATTGAGGGGGCTTTTACCCAGATAGTATAATCCTATACCATCCCTTCATTCAGACCTCCTGGCTATAGGAGTTTGACCTGCGCTCAGAGGACAGAGCTGCCATAGCAAAGTCCTGTGGGGCAGCAAACCTCTCACATCTAGGCCACACTCCTGCATGTGTTTGCCAGGGAGAGCTGGTGTTCTGCCCTCTGCCACCACAGGGTCTGGGCCTGTGTGCCTTGTACAGGTCTGCTCAGAGGCTGTTGTAATTTATAAGTTTTATATTGAGAAGAAAAGCAAAATAAATCACATCCAATCAAACCAGAAGGTTTTGTGAAACATCCTCTATCAGAGGCTGTGGACAGGTGCCAAGATGCCTAAGTACCAGGCCACTGGCCCCATAGAGGAGTTGGGAATGGGGAGAGCAAGAGGACAGGAAGTGGAGGTGGAGGGGAGTGGACTCAGGTGAGCGAACTGTGCTTAAATTTAAAGCCTGTGCCTCGGGACATGCCCTCCTGTGACAAGAGCCCTTGCGTCCTCTGTGACAGAGCCCTCAACCCTGTCTGTCCACACCACAGTAAGAGGGAAACATTTCCAGATGCACCTGGGACATGACCCGGCACCACCTCCAAGGACTCAATCCCACCCAGCTCGAAACCGTACCAGGTGTGAGAAGCCCGAGTTGCTGGAGGTCATGGTCACCGGGGAGGCAATCTCTCAGGCTAGGGCAGCCCCAGATAGAACTATTTCTGTGAGAGACTGGCCACTTTATTCTCCAGGCTCCTGGGACCTTCTAGAAGAATCTCATCATCTGATTCCCTCCTTCAGCTAGGACTTGCTGACCTCTGTCCCAGATTCCAGGAGCCCCTTCTTGTCTTCACCCTTACGCTTGTTAGAGGGCTCACCTTGCCACCGAGCCCCACGTGGTTGCTCCCATGTGGTTCCATGTAGGAGTCATAGTCTTTTTAAAATAATAATTTTGTTGATTCTTTGGCAATTTCATCCAATGTGTTTTGATCGCAGTCAAGCACCCACACTCGCCCCTGTACCCTCCATTGCATATCCTCTGGTGCTCTTTTTCTTTTCTGAAGGCCTATCAAGTATAATTTGTGTTCTTCAAATGCTTTTGGGTGTCGGTTTATTGCTTGGAGCCTGGTCAGCCTACCAGACATCACACCCTTACAGAAGGCTGACTCCCCATCTCCCAGCAGCTATCCGTTGCCTCCTTCGCTAGGGCTGGGCCTTCTTACCCACCGCCGCCCTCAGGTGGGCATGTGGCGGCCACTCTCTGTTGTAAGGTCTTTTGGAAGTAGCATTTTTGACTCCGCGTTGCATCTCTGTCTTCTTTGCCATGATGTTCTCAGAGTTCCTTCATGTGGCTAGGTCCACTTGCATTCTCTCAGGACTCTAAAGACCTTCACAGGCTTTTGCCAGTTTTTTCATGGTTACAAAGAATTATGCAATAGTTTTCTGGGCTGCTTTTTAAATCAGGAGCAGAACTATGATGCTATTTTGGGGTACAATTTAAATAAGCTGAAAGGAAATGTCTTGAATTATGACAAGAGAGGGAAGTGGAAGCCATAGCAGGGTCACGTCTAGAGAAGAGCCAGAAACCCAGGTATGTGAAAACAAGATCCAGAGCACAGTGGTCTCCCATCTCATGGTCAAGTAGGGTTGAGAACCAACCTCACCCTCTGTCCTAGGAGTCAGGTTAATGTGAAGGCAAGCCAGCCTGATCTCCATGGCAGAAGGAAGTCCTCCCAGAGCCCCAACAGGTGCTCCTTCCTCAGTCCCAGCTTGGTTAGGTGGAGAGCACACATGTACATTCGTGTGGGAAGCACATGACAGTGGTGGTATACTCTCAGTTGCCACCCACACAAACCCAAGTCTGCTCCAAGGTTGTTTCCATAAAGATAGTTGCTTGGCCCAGGACACCCAGCCCTTGCCCAGCCCCATGCTCAGTGAGTTGCAGCAACTGCATTTGGCATTCTCTCTGCCGGGGAGAATCTTGTTAAAGCTCAGAAATTCTGCCGGCTGTCTGGCTCACCATACCACCTGCCCTCTCGGATTGTACCATCTGCTCTTTTCATAACACATTTCTCTCGTCTTTGTCACTGGTAAAAGCAGAGTCAACATGGCAAACACTGTTGGCTCCACCACCCCATGCTGACTGGGATCAATTGGGTGTCCTCCTGGAGAGGTGTAGCTGCTGACGTAGCTGCTGTAGTCCCAGCAGTGTGAACCACCCCAGACCTGAGAGAACTGTCTGGAGCTCATCCAAGCACTTGAAGCCCGTGAACAGCCAAAGCTTCTCCAACATCCTCTTCGTGACAAAGGGCAGTTCTCAGCGCTGTCCCCACTGAAAGTGGGAGAGCTGCAGCCAAGAGGGCTGCGTGACCTGCCCAAGGCTGGACTTTACCCCCACACAACTGCTCGCAGAGCTGACCTGTCGTAACCTGCACACTACTTCCCAGGACCAACCTTCCATGCTTTTCATGTTGCCCACACTTCCCAGTACCAGTTTTAAAGCCCCTGTTGAAATCACTTGACAGTCACCCGCAAACTCACCTAGGCTCAGCCTCTCAGTGTGATTCACCGGGAGCCTCATTCTGGGCCAAACAATTTCAGAGTGTGTTTCAGGAATAGTGACACCAAAATACATTAGTCCATATCCAAAAGTGAGGTCCTTCTCCATAGCTGCAACCCTGTTGTCCCATCAGGAAATGACAACACTGTCACGTCCCTAATGTCATCTGACACCTACCTGGAGGGCTCACTCAGACTCTGGAACAGCAGACGAGTAACTGGCATGGCGGCAGCTTCTTCTCTCTTATGTCGGTGCCTGGACATCCCAGATCATGGGGCAGTAGGGCTGGCTCCTGACACCACTCCTTGGCTCACAGTGTCCAAGTCCATATGTCCTCTCTGTTGAAGAACTCCATCATCTGGTGCAGGGCCCAACCTTATGACCTTGCTTAGCTGCCTCTGTGCAGGTCCTGCCATGATCTGAGATTGGGGGTGGGGGGAGGGGGTTGGGACTCAATGTGTGAACTTCGGGGACACAACCCAGCTCAGAGCCAGCCTCTGTACTCAAGTGTCCATGAGACCCCATTACGTCCGACACAGCAGTCATGTGTCTTGTTTTGTCTTAACCAGGACACCATCATGGCTCACTACTGTATTTTGTTGTCTCTTTGATCTTTTAATTTTAGAAGAGCCCCATTTTTCTTCCCAACATGTCCCCAGCAAAGCAGGTCTCCCAGTGGCCACCCCCACTTTCCAGATGGTCATGAGGGACCCACACAGGAGCCTGCCTAGGAACTGGGCACACCCCCAAGAAGTTCACCTGCCTCCTCCCAGGGTACCACGGCCTGAGAGGTGGGCCCAGGCCAACACGCGTCCACAGAGCTGAGGGACCAGCATGCTCTGTTGCGGGGCTACAGCCGAACCTTGGCTCCTCGCATGTCCCCCCTCACCCTCCTGCCTTTTGTCCCTTTCAGTTCATTCTTATTGACTCTAGCTTTTAACGGTTGGCAGAATGAGGCGTCCAAAGATTGCAGCCAAGGGTGGGGTCCTCAGAAGCCATGATAATCCTATTTGAAGTGCCTGTCAAGACCACATGTGGCATCAGGTATCAGCCGTGGCTCACGACCCATAAACAGCAG